CATGTTCAGGAGTGGGTTTCGTTTTTCAGATGCTTCATGTACCTACTGCAATGAGGAGATTCATAGCAAAGAGAAAGATACCCTTCAGTAACCCTGTCTGAGTGAGGCTCCTGGTAGGGTCAAATATTTTGAACCAAAGAAGACTGCAGCTCTTGCTGTAAAGAGACACAATGATAGAATTACCTTTTGCACTGTCTTCACATAGCTCCATGATCTGTGGAGAAAACTGGAACTGATTCTTTTCTTCTCTGAGTTCCTTGCATCATGATAGAAAGTTCTGACAATCTAATCTGTATTTTTTCATGGAGGTTTTATAACTTTTTACAGAGCAGCATGGTTGGAAAGATAAATTCTTAAATGGGAATATTAATATTCTTCCCTTCAAGCAGTTTACTGACCAGTTCCTCTTCCCCCTCCTCTTTTATTCATGTTGTGTAACTGAAACTGTTTTTTCCAGATGACTTGATCTTTCTAGGAATTTCTTGTTTAATGACCTATGCAAAAATAATATACCACTGTTTTCTGACAGGTGAACAATTTGCTGACAGGACTCCTATGAAGACCAATTCCAGGTTACATCTATCTTTGACTTGTCATATTCAGGCAAACCTTTTCAGAGGGTTTTGTCCTCAAAAGCTTCAGTCAGCCATGAAGTCACAGTGATGAAGTCACTCTGTGACTCACCTCACTCTAGATCCTTACCTTTAGCTTCTTATTAGATTTTTAAATGTGTCTCACAACTCCTGCCATCTCATTGCTTGTGAATGTCTCACTGCACCACGTCTTGTCTAGCATCTTCTGATTTAACATCTCTGCACACTGATCTCTGGCAAAATTCAAGAAACAAGGTTTCTTGCCTCACTATAGCAACATCTTGCCAACCACATCTCATTGATATATAAGCAAAGTTACTTTGGTTTTGCCTTATTGTAGTATGGCCCTTATTCCTTTTGTTTAGTTTTAAATGCACTCTAGTAATGGCTTTGCTCTCTGGACTTCTGATGTATTTGTATTACAAGGACTTGTCTGGGAGACGAACAAAAGCAAAACTGTCCCTGGGGTGCAGCAGCTTAATTATTTGCCCAGCAGCTAAATGTTTGACTATGCCCGAGGGAAGTACTAGTGAGCAATGTACAATTCATCTGCCTATAGAAATATTATTGTAGGGCAGATAATTAATTTAATAGTGAACCAAATTAAAATGACACTTGCAGTTTTATTTCTGATGTTTTATAATTTCTAAAAGCTGTACTCTTAATATTCTTTACAGATGTTATGTTTGTGTGGTGTTTGGCTGTACTATTTTGTAGAAAAACCCAGTTTCATCTAGATCAGGCACAGTAGAATTCATGTTACCCAGCATTAGATTGCTATAATAGAAGCATTTACAATGTAAATGGTCACAACAGGCATTTTAAAAGCTGTTGAGGAAAAATGCAAGTATTTCTGTATATTTTGAGGCACAGCTAGTTTCATTCAAGAGATGCCCAAATTAAGTCACAGCCTTACAAAATGCTTCTTCCCTGGTTTTGGCTATAAAGACAGTTTAGAATTTCTAACCCAAAAATAAATACCTGTCATTGGGTAAGGTGTATCATGTTTCCTGCTCTGTTATGTCAGAGGTGTGTGATGATACTAGTAATAGTTAATGATGACAACAACAACAACAATTTTATTCTTTGAGGACAGTGGACTGTGAAATGGCTTGTATAATTTAGAAAATGTCTCTGAACACAGAATCACAAAGTGAAGACAGAAAGATTTAAAATATTTATATTCTTTTCTTTAAATTCTCAATCTGATGAGTTTAGTACTGCACATTCTAACAGGTGAACAATATATATTGAAATAGAGGCAGAAGTAGGACTGTGAAAATGGAGACTTGCTGGAAGCCCCCTAGAAAGACGCTTTTTTGTTTGGGTGTTTTCTGCTCTAAGAAAAACATAGAAAGAAACTGCAAAAATCAATAAATAGGTGGAATTAAGACAATATTATATCTTTCATATTGTTTTTCTCATGCTTTTTTCTTCCTCAACTTCATTTGTATGAGAGACGTACATAAGTAAGATGTAGATTGTGTGCCTGTGTCCATAGCACATTTAAACCTTGACTTCTTTGGACAAGAGTATAAATGATGCCAGAGTTTCTATTGCTTTCTATCCCCTGGATGGAACATCTTTTGTCTGAAAGGATGCGAACTCTGCTTTCCTTCAACTGGGAGGTTTCCGATACTTGGCATTCTCATTTCTAGGAAGCTCATGCAGCAGTATTTTTTCTCACTGGCAGTACTAATAGGTTCTCTCTCCTCTAATTGACAGTAAATTCTCATTCCTTTTATAGCTCAGAAACTTTTATCATTCTGTGAAGTTATGGTTATATTGTGTGTGTTCAAAAGTGGCACAGAAATGGCTTTTCTCACTAGCTTAGAGAACAAGGTATATTCTGCTGCATTTGTCCCCAGAAACTGATGGGAAGACATAACATATGGCTAACCTAATGTAAGTACTGGTGTAGCTACTGCTGTAACACTTCAGTTACTGGTTCTGTTGTGGTACTCATTGTAGTTTTTGATATGTGTGTTTGTAGCCTTCCCCTTTGACAGTAGCAATAGAGATCAAAAGAGCAGAAAGAAGCAGGATAAGGAGTGCAGGGAGATTCTCCAGGAACCATTTCCCTCATTTCATTTACACAGTACCATTGTCTTTATGTGAGATTACACAAGTATAGTTCTTTTTTTTTTCTAGTAGACAGGTAAATAAAGAAACATAGAGGCTTATCTTTGAAGCAGAGTGAAAGCATATGGACTGGCTGCTTAATTTTTCAAGGAATAGAATGCAAGAAACTGAAAGGAGTAAACCAACCTCCATTTGTCACTTTCTCCAGTAGTTAAGCCATAAATGAATTGAAATGCTTAGGTATGTTTCTCTTCTGTTCAGAGGAATTGCTTTATTCATTGGTTTGTGTACAGAAGTGTTAATTTCTGAAGGGAATTTCTTGCACATTTTAAAGTCATTACCTGAACAAACCTTGTTCTGTAGCAGCACCTTGTGGGAAGGAAATCAGACTACAACCTCCTACACAAGCCAGCATACCCAGAAGACAGTTGCTGAGTGACAATCTGCCATCAGTGAGCTGAACAGGTTATTTTATTATTGCTGTAGAAATTACAGCATTCTCCTAAGTAATAAGAGACATATCCAAGAGGATGATATACAAAACCTTATTTGTCATGCCCTTTTATCTGTGGCATCCAGATCTCTACAATGACAGGAAATGCCTTTTTGCTGTGGCAAATCAGTGAACAGATGGAGGTAAAATGTCCGTGAGAAAGTAAAGCTATGCTATATTCTATCAGAAATGTGTCAGTCTGAGATAGTCAGTCTGTTGTACAGATACTTGTTTAATAGTCATGGAATGGATGCTAGCCCTTTTCGGCTATTAACTTTCCAATTGAGAAACAATGTGGCATTTTTAACAGGACCTCAGAGTGCCATCTGTTTGCATTTTTTGTTTCTGGATTGCTTTTTTAGAATAAGAAAAACTCCATGAATCTTGCCATTTCCAGATATTTCCTCTTAATTTGCAGTTAAACAAATACCATTAAATGTGGATACAACAGCTTGATTTATGCTGCAAATGAGAGATTAGGCTGAGTCATGTTCAGCTATTAGGCTGATGCTTTGTGTTTTGCAGCTGGAGTTAAATGACTTCCGTATCATCCCCTCCAAAACTTTGAGGGGTGCTTCCTGTATTCCTGCATCGCTTTGGCTTCAAAAAGGGAGCCCACTTCTGTGAATAAATATAGGGGCATTTTTGTTTGAGAAGGACTGTGAAAGTTCTCTCAATTATTGTAGGAGAAAATGGTTTTCAACATAAGGCCAATGCCATCAACAGCTGCCGACTGGAGATGCTGACTAGGTCCATGTTAACTGTTCAGTTTCCCTAGCTGAGTGTACTGCATGATGTCCTGCCCTTTGCATTCCCAGTGTTTGAGTGCATAGAAACCATCCATGTTCAGTGAAACTGCAGGGAAGCTGTTGTGCTATTACTAGAGTAAAGATCTTGGAGAGGATCCCTTGGAGTCTGATTTCTTCATCAGGAGCATGTTCCTACAGTTACCTGTGTGTAGAAAAAATGTGAGGGCATCTTTTGGTGTATTGAAAATTGACTCTCAAAACACATCTCAGCAGCTTACTTGTTTGGGAGCAGTCATCATATTGTAAAGATAGGTCATTGCAAAATAGTTCAATAGTTTCAGTAAGCATTTGTATCTCTTAAAATATTCTCAGGTGACACAGGCAAATCATACATAACCCAACAAGCATGTAAGCTTAGGAGGGCATCAACATAGCTGTAAATTGCAATGTGTCAGGGATACTTATTCTCGTTGAAACCATTTCCTAGGAAGATGTGAAAGCTGTTCCTAAAAATATGCAGTGCTGATGCGTAAATTCTAAGACAAAAAGATCAGAAATTGTTAGATTTAGTGAATAAAATACTGAGTTTTTAGGCTGCATGGGTAAATGCAGTCTAAAAGGTGGTAGGTATCATCTGCAATCTCTCAGGATGCTAAGGGTCTTTCAGAGCTTCTCTCAGTCTGATTATGTCAAGGAGGTTCTGCATGATGTCCTACATGGTGTGTTATTTGGTAATATAAGTACAGTTCTGCAGAAACTTGGATCATCCACAATTGTTGTAATTTCTAAGAAAGGCATCCCAAATTTTGATTAATGCTTGATCTTTTTTCCCTTGAAAAATAAGAAAGTTAGGTTGATTGTATTTGCATGCATCTAAGATAAAAATTATTCCTATATGTACCAAATGTATCATGGTTGAGTTCTTTACTTGTTATTTGTTTGTCTTTAAAACCTTTGGATTCTGATGGCCAGATAAGATACACATCTTACCCAGAATACAAGGTTGCATTAACCTCAAAAGACAAAGTAATCTTTAACAAAAAAGAAAAGTCACAATTATATCTTTATCATTTTGTTTTGCAGGAGGCAATAAGCTGAAGAATCAACATTTTCGCCTCAACTGGGCATGGATCTCCTTAGAAAAGGAGTATTACTTAGTAAATGAAGACTCCAAATATCTTGATGTTGTTCTGAAACGGAGAGGTTACCTGGGAGAAACCTCTTTTATAAGTAAGTTCAATTCTAACCTTATCAATTGCTTCTATGAATGATTGCCCAGCTAGTTGATTAAATTTATCAATACAGCTGTATCCTGTTACTGGTGTTTCAGCTAAGCAAACTATATTCAATGGAATATATTTATTTATTAAAGCAAGTTGTTTTTTTATACTAAGTACATGTTTTGTTTAGTTCTTTGGGGTTTGGGGGATTTTTTTGGTCTTATGCAATTAATTTTTGACTAAACAAACAATCCAAGACACCATCCTTCTTTCTTTGATTTGATTGATACCACTGTTTATTTGTTTCACTGAATGCAGTTCCTGTCCAGATTTTCTTCTCCCTGCAATGAGAAAATTCAGTTGTAGCAATTGGAAATACAACAATAAACATATATCATTTTCCAGGAAGGCTATTGTGAGCTGGTCTGATCAGCAGCTATGAGCATTAGGCTCATTTTCTTCAGTCAATGTTGGCAGTCAGCTGAGGCTGATACAGGAGGTGTTGAAAACTGTTTGCAGTGTCTGGGGAGTGAAAAGGTGAAAAAAAGATTGTGTTATCATATTCTGCAACCTCACACCTGTGTCTAGCTTCTGGATCTGTTCCCATCCTCTTCCCAGTGATGCACTTACACCAGGGAACATTATCCTTGTACAATTTCACATCAAAACCTATGGTGAGCTTACACTGCTTAGAAAAAGCATTCAGTTTAAAGCTGGTTTTGCAGAGATATGTTAGCATTTACCTGGCATGGCGCACAAACTCATGCTTAGAAATCAGGTTTCTATTTAAGTCTCTGTATGAATAAGTATCTGAGTTTCAGATAGTGAGATGCAGTTGAGACACCTATTTTGGCATGAGACTTAAGGGATACAGGTCTTAACTAACTGGATCTAACTTAAAAGGCTCTATTTTGAACAGTGAACTTAAACTTGGATAATATATTTCTTGTAAAGAAAGACAAAGAAGAGATGAATGAAATACATAGTTAAGGATGTGTGGTTTAAACTAATTACTGGTACTGAATAACAGATACTGATGTGACTTCTGATCCTTCAGATATAGTGTTTACAAAATTTTCTACCTATGGATTCAGGGTCAGTTTCTGAATTGAGCTGACTGAAAATTCAGCAAAACCAGTTTGAATAACTTGCCTTTGACTACCTTAATCCCTCAAATTGAATTACAGAGTTGGAAAGAGCATAAAAGATGGTCAAGATGCTTCTTGGCCTTTCTGGACCATGTGCAGTGCCAAAGTGGCTGAAGGGTTATAGATTATATAAAATACTGGCTGACACCTAGGAGGAGGCACAAGCCTGAAGCAAAAAAGACAAGTTTTGTAGTGAAAGGTGATATGTTTCAATACATTAAAGCATACAGTTGGGAGAAACATTCAGAAAAGTTTTCAAGTGCTTTTTCTGAAAACCTGAGGAAGGCCTTTAAGATTTGAGTGATACTCTGGGATTCAAATAAGGCTAAATGCATAAGTTGGAGATAGTTCTGAAATACTGTCTAATTTCCATGAGGGTCTGTCAGAAAGCCTTAAACTGGGAGTGAATTGCCAATGAAAACCTGTTTTAGAGCAGTCTGAGTCCAAGTCTGGAAGGTCTGAGCTGTCTCTGTGGATTGAGTTGATTTGGATTTTATCCCATGGCCTTGCGGTTTCAACTTCACTTGAATTTAATGATTGTCATTATGCCAACACTGAAATAAGCATATAATAATTTTTTAAAACACTTATTGTAGTGACAATGAGAACAACAGTTCAGATTTTACATCTTTCATCTGTATTCAGTATGTTTTACCTCTTTCTGTCTTTGTGTTTTCCTTAGCTTTTCCTTTAAAGGCTGAAATTTCCAGGGGTGTTTTTAGTTTTTCTAAAAGAAATTAATATTTTTCACAATTTCAGGCACCATGTTATTTAAATGTTCTGGAACAGAAGAGAACTCAGAATGTTAAAACTGAGGGAGTAAGTCTGTTGTCCTTTTTAGGGATCCATAGTTGAATTAGGGAGAAATAGAAACTTGACTGTAACCTCAGAGAATATAGAGTTTTTCTAGTAGTTAGTTTTACTTTAGCTAATTTTGTCCAAACTGCATTTTATAATGTTAGTTGATGTTCTTCCACCTCTATGTGTGACACCCAATATAAAGTTGATCAAGAGTAATGAATTTGGCTTGGACATTCTCAGGTTGTTTAAAGTGTATTTTTCTAAAACTTTTTTAAAGAAGACATAATGGGAGAAAATTTACAAGTGATGTTTTAATAACCTAAATTTCTAATTTTGACAGGTATTAGCACCAAAGATGGTACTGCCAAGAGAGATAAAGACTTCAGAGGAAAAGCCCAGAAGCAGGTGCAGTTTAATCCTGGTCAAACCTTAGCTACATGGCGGGTACGGATTTTGAGTGATGGTGAACATGAACAGTCTGAGTCCTTTCAGATTGTTCTTTCTGAGCCTGTCATGGCAGTTCTGGAGTTTCCTGCTGCATCCACAGTGGAAATTATCGACCCAGGAGATGGTAAGAACCTTTCCAGAACTATAGTGCCAACATGTCCATATATCAAAAGACAAACTGGAGGGCAAATACTATGAGTAACTGTGAATGGTAAAGGTCATCTTTCCTCAGAATATTTCTGAAGACAGACTTGGGTATCGGGTAGGCATTTGTCCTCTGTCACTTCAAGTACTTCATGAATAGCTGACTCAGTAGCAGGTTTTCATGAAATTTTTTCTATGCATTTTTTCTATGATCTAATATTTCTAGGTTTTTTTGGGTTGTTTTAATTTTAAGTGTAACAAGTTTTCTATTAAATGTGTTTGCAAACAGAATGTTTCTGCACAGGTGGCTGGTGGCTGACTGGATTTACTCTGCCATGATAATACATGTGAGAGAGGATAGTACAGGAAAGGCCAGGCTGGCTGGTCCCAACAAGTCTGGGTCTTGGAACAGGCTATTTGCATCAGTTACACCTTAATATTAAGCTGAGAAGCTCAGTAAGGTTCATTAGACCAAGTACAGCACAAGTTGTGCCAAGAACAGGTAAAATTATGGTTAAATGTAAATTGATAAGCTGAATTTAAAAATTTAAAGAAAAAAAGGAAAAGTAGAGCATGCTCTGGTTGCTTTGCTTTTCTGCCGCATCCAGACACTTTAACCCCTGGGCTTTGGTCAGACAGAACTGTCCTTAAGGAATCTTTCAAGTACTGGACAACTGTATCAGCTTGATTTATATAGTCTTCCCTAATTCACATTTGAAAACTGCTGGGCATGGAAATTACCAGAGGTTTCTTAGGTCCTGGGTACAAATGCAAGTTCAACTAGAGCTTATCTGACTTCCATATTTAGTCACTGAGAGAAATAGTGCTTTACTTGCAAAGCAGCACATAAGGCACAGACATAACTTGAAAATATGCTAAATATCTTTATCTTTTCTATGATCAGTGAGATAGCACAGCTCAAGATAATCATCTGAATCTTAATGCCAACATTTTTTTCTATTTCTTATATTAAGATACAGTTTTTTACAGTCCCAGAGAATTTGTAGTAATTATACAGAAAGTGAAGTTGCATAGAAGATCAAATGTGTAGTGGCAAATCAAGGAATATGTATAGGAAAACTAGAGAGAGAACTTTGTGGGGAAGATCTGCATTTCCTAACAGTCTTTTAAAGCACGGGGTATTTCAAGTTCAGATGCTTGCTGAAGAGGAAACATCAAAATTTTATTCTGTTTCCAGTGAAAGACATTTTAAAATTCATTGATTTGAATGATGTAGTTTTATGACCAAAATAGTGAGCTTGTTTGGAAAGCTGCACCAGCCCCTTGGTGTATGGGACATTAATGTTTTATTCCAAGTATAGATTGGATATGGATGTGTTTTCTTATACTAGCTGAGATGGTGTAGCTCATTTTCCTTTGAGCTTTTATGTTGTTCATAAGGTCTATTACATTTTTATAGTGCCATTTTACTCCTAGTTTAATAAGTATGAGGGAGAGAGGAAACTGAACAAATCAGATTCCTGCATTTTTTGAAGGACGGAGTTTTTCATTTTGTCAACCAAATTCTAAAGGGAAAAATATAAGGAACAAATTGGGATTTTTTTAGTGTTACCTCTTGCTTTACTTTGAAACAAAAACATAGGGATTTGGTGTTTTTCACATTGAATTTTTTACTTGCTGGAATAGTGAATGTGTCTAGATCTTATCAAACCTGAATTACAGCATTTTTAAAGCAGGCTTTTGACCTTAAGTCATGCTAGTAGTATTTTCCAGTTGGAGAAATAAAACCTGGTACATGTTTGCAAAGAAGTCACCTGACAATTTTCAGAACACTGTTTGCCGAAGTACTCTGAAATAATGTAAAGATTTGCTTTGTGCAGCCAGCTGATACCACTTGGTTTGGTATTTACAGAGTTCTGTTCTGTTTGGGTTGCAGCCATACTAATGAAACTGTGAAGGTGCTTTATAATTATATGCATAACCACCTTTTGTTCTTGAGTTTTTTAGAGAACAGGAACAAAATTGATCCTGAATCCCAGTAACAGCATAAAACACAGCAATCTGTTTGTATGAGTATAAAATAGTGAAAGAGTTTGAAATGCATTTTGGTAGGGTTTTTCCCCTTGAAAAACATATCTGATATTCTTTGGTATAATACATTTTAGGGTGAGATTGCTCTCCAGACTTCACTGACTGTATTGACTAGATCTTCTTTGAGTAAAATAGGAGTGTAGATATGTAGCCAACTCAAATCAGATGTCCAAGTCAGAGTAAGGTATCAGGAGCTCAGCCTTGCTCCTCAGTGCCAAATGATTTTCATGCTTATCCTGATGCAGTAAATTAGAGAATGGCCTTGGAGAACCACAGCCAGGGTGTGAGCTATGCTGTCAATACATCTGTAGTTAGCAGTTTATGATGAAATATCATGGAAATAATAAAAACATAGACTTTGTGGACAAATTCTCCAAACACTGTCTTGCACCATTAACCCTAGATAAATAAATTAGTCACATTAGAGACTACTTAATAAGGACTTGTGAATTAAGATCTAATGATCTGATTTTCTTTTCCATTTCTGAAACCCAAAGAAAATCTATTTTTTCTTGCCCTCCAAGTTTTCCTTACAATTTAGTGGCATTGCTGATAAATACAAATTACTTTTGCACTTCAAAATATTTTAAAAATGCTCTTAGCTATTGTACAGGCAACTTTATGAAGTCATAAATCTACATAAACAAATGTGTCTTTTCTTTGCAGAATCAACTGTCTTTATTCCTCAGTCTACCTATACTATTGAAGAAGATATTGGTGAATTATTTATTCCAGTAAGAAGAAGTGGAGATGTGAGTCAGGAACTGATGGTTATCTGTTACACACAACAAGGTAATAGAATCTAGTATAGCACTAAAAAAAAAGGTAAAAGTAGAAAAAGGACAGAAATTTAAAAATAATTGTTCCATCTATTTTATAATCAAATTGCTTATAATTCTGTTAATTACTTTTTCATCTAAATATCTTCAGTCTCAACTGGAAATGTATTAATCTTTGCAATCTGTTTTAGATTATTATTGAACACAGCTTAAAAGTCCTCATGATTCCAATTTCTGCCAATGATGACATGAAGAGGATCTGTGTTCTTTTTATTTTTGCAATAGTTTTATATGCAGTCCCATATATCTGACAGTGATGAGAACTGAAAGCACTGCATATCCTGCACCTGTTTGTATCTTGAAAAAAAATGCATCAAATAATATTGCTTAATTGCCATGCTTCTCCTTCCTCTGACCTTCAGTGTCTTATTAATTATATGAATGCGGGGCATGGGGTTTCTACACCTGTTGTTTTATTACTATTTTTCATCTGGAGAGCTGAAGCAATATTTTGTGTGAAGTGATCTGGAGTCAAAATAATTTGTTTTCATGAAATTCTGTCTATTCTTGCCCACCTATATCTTCAATATGGGTAAAATATACTAAGGGAGTTAGCTGCTATCTTCACAAGGGCTGCTTTGTCAGTCTGTGTCTCTTGCAGTGGATTGCCATACTTTTTCTGTCTGAAAAACTGGAAATGCATTTGAGGAGCCACGTGCTTGCATTGTACCATATACACAAGTAGTTTGTCTATGGACCTCAGAAATACAGCCTGGTCAGAGGTTTCAGCCCATCTTATCATCAAAAAGTAAACAGAAAGTAAAAGATAATGAAAACAAAATTCCACCTCCAGGAGGGGATCATTATAACCATGGTATGTATAGTGACTGTTTTCCTTTCATGCCACAGGAACAGCATCTGGCACTGCCCCAACCTCTGTACTTTCTTACTCTGACTACATATCCAGGCCTGAGGATCACAACAGTATTCTACGTTTTGACAAAGACGAACGAGAAAAAATGTGTCGGATCGTCATCATAGATGATTCCTTGTATGAAGAGGCTGAGACCTTTGATGTTTTGCTGAGCATGCCCATGGGTGGAAGAATTGGTACAGAATTCCCAAGCACTCGAATTACCATTGTACCTGACAAGGATGATGGTAAGATATGTAATAAAGTGATATTCCCAGTTCAGGTCAGAAACTGCAAATAGCATCACACTCAAAGCAGCATGTAGAAAATGGATTTTTGCACTTCTTCCTGCTCGTTGAAACACATGCTGCTTCCATATTGAAGTTTGAAAATACGGTTAGAAAGCTGTGTGGGGTTTTGAAAGTATTAGTATTGATATTTTATTGTTTGAGAAAATCACATGAGCGGTGATTCAAAGCAAGGAGATGCAATATTCCATTTCTGTCACATTGACAGATATAGTCCCTTGCCTGTGTGATTCTGAGGCTGCATCTACAAAGCCTTCAGGCCCATTGCATTATGCTGCAAAGGGCCATATTGGAGGTCTTGATGGAGCAGAAGCCATCTAGCAGCTCCTAAAAGGCAAGCTATATTTCTTCTGATTTGATGCTGCATTTAAATTTCTGCCTAGAAGGATCCGTGTATGTTTCCTTTATCTTTTTATAAAGCTCAAATGACAGTAATGTAGCTTTAGAAACCACCACCTCAGTAAGGAACTGCTGATAGAATTGTCTTTTGTTCAACTCGTTAATAGTTTTAATATATTGCATTGAAAGAGAAAGGTCCACGACTAAGGCAGAGTGGATCAGCACACCATATCACCAGCTGCTTTCAAAAATACATGCAAATATTATCATAGTATGTTAAGGGGTTCAAATGGACCTTAGAGATCATCTCGTCCCAAACCCCCTTCCATGGGCAGGGACATCTCCCACTAGACCAGGATGCTCAAGGCTTTATCCAGCCTGGCTTTGAACACTGCCAGGGGTTGGGGCATCTATAGCCTCCCTGGGCAACCTGTGCCAGTGCCTTACCACCCTCACAGGAACAAACTTCTTCCTAATGGCTAATCTAAATTTCTCCTCTTCCAATTTATACCCAGAACTCCTTGTCCTATCACTACAATTCTTAACAACTTTCCCATAGGCCCCTTCAGATACTGCTGCTGTGAGGTGAGGTCCCCACACAACCTTCTCTTCTTCAGGCTGAACAGTCCCAACTTTCTCAGCTTGTCTTGTAGGGA